GAGCCGAGGAAAAGGACGAGAAAAGGAACGATTTGTTTAACGTATATATTTAGAAATAAAAAACGAAAAGTTCGGTTCTCACTTTTTTTTTCTTCTTAAGTAAAAAACGGAAAGTTTCGCGACGAAGTAAAAGAAAGGGAAGCAAAGGTGCCGGGGAAAGGACTTGTTAACGACGCGGCTCGACTTACTAGATACTGTGATGTTAAAAGCTCGCCCGAGAGCTTGCAGTGAGAGAGGATCGAAGAAGATCGTCAACCTGCCGGCTTCGAGTGCGCCGATGTTGTGAACATCTTCTTAACCCGTCCTCGTCCTCCGAACTTGTCTCCTTGGGATCGGCGCAACAAACAGGTGAGTGCCGACAATCAGCGAGCGAAGGGAGACGTCATCACCCTTCCTCGTTCACTTTTCATTTTTCTCCTTCCGCGCGTCGTTTCGAGTTTCATGCAACGACCCTCTTCTCTTGAATCGCACGCGGAGCGATCGTTCGGGCTGTTAATCGTTTCGCTATCTCGATTCTCGATCGCGCGGATTATTTTCGCGAAAATTAAGACGTCGAAACTTTAGCGCGAATCAAAAAGAAACGAAGGTTATTGAATTTCTCACCACGACAAACGGATTATTCTTTTATCTTATGATTTTCTTTCAATTTTATTATTCAAATCACGATTTTCTCTTGTTATTATATGCCTTATCTTGACGTAAGACGTGATGTAAGAGACACAAGTACAACAAAAGAAAAGATATAAGATTCCCGCGAAAAGTGGAGATAAATAGAGACGCGCGTTGATTTTTTTCGCGTCTCGGCAAAACGAAAACAAACGGAATGTTTTGTGTTCTAAAGCGGAGCACATGCGAACACGGTTTTATACACAATTAAATAACCTTGTGATAGCACTTACTTTCTTTCAGTAGAAGGATACGTTGCTCGAGAAACGGCGCGTCTTTCGCTAGTGAAACACTCGCTTATTTTCCTCACGGTGTCTGACTACGCGGGCCGTTTCCCCTTAAGCTAGTTATACTCCGCGCGAAGGAGGCATTTCTGATCGTGTGGTGATGTTGACGGTGACGGGTGTGATGTGCTGGTGCTAAATGTGCTCGCGTTAACAAACGACTGTAAAGGAAATTCGTAAAAAAAAAAAAAAAAAAAAACGATAACGACGAAACAATCATCGAGTGACAACAAGATCGTGCGAGAGATCCGTATCTCTTTGATCGTGGTGCTCCTGACTAATGAAATAAAAATGATCGTGCGATTGATAAGTAAAAAACCGTGTAATGTAATAGCGCTAATAATAAATAATTGAATACCTTTTTATTAAAATAAACGCGCTCTAAGATATTTAGGTGTCGAATACCTCAATGATCTAATCGCGTTCGAGATGTTAAATATATTAATAATAGTGCTACTAAAGTTTGCGCTATTCTGTGATATCACTTTGTGTGATGTTGCGTCGATAATTGAAAAAAGAATACGAGTGTAAAAATGTGTTTTATTATTATAAAATAACGTTACAAATTTTCTTTAAATTATAATACTAAGAATAAGTACAACAAATCCGATATAATGTATCTAAATAATTCGGCTGTAGAGACAGTCGTGTCATAATTACGTGATAAACTTAAATTTCTACGTAAAAATCGTGTTGATAGAAGTATTGAGTACAAGTGTTTCAATAAGTAAATAAAAAATTCAGTCAATTATAGGGAATAAAGTAATAAATGCGTAATAATAGATATATATTTGAGAAAAAAAACCATTTTTAAACAAGCCGCGTGTGATAAATGCAATCAATTGAATTCTAAAATACTAGTAGAATTGCAATGTAACGCAAAAGCATTGACGAATAAAAGAGAATTTGAAACGCGTGATAATTCGGCAAAACTTATCGGAAACATCTTCGTGACAGTAGGTATGGCCGGCTCCTGTCAGCCAGAAAAGCGGAGATGTCAAACATTGTTCCGACGGCAGCCGTTTAACCCGCGACAGGTCGGGACAGACCCAGCGCGGATTCGTTTTTAAATCAATAACATAAACCTCACCGAAGCTATTCTCAAACGCGACATAAGCTGAAATATATAAATAACCAATCATTTAGAGAATATCAATTCGCCGTGATAAATAATACCTCAAAAATCACGCTAAATCCAATTAACGCTTTGAAAGCATCGTTTTTCACTATATCAAGTATTTTTATAACTATTCAAGAATATCGTGTTAATTTTTGCATATAATTGTGATTTACATTTCTCAATTTTATAGTAAAAAGATAATCAATGGAGTAAAACTTAGGAAAATTGAGAGAAGAATTCAGTGCTGTAATTAAATACTTCATCACTCCCTGTTTTTTGCTGATTAGCGTAAAACAGAGATTTGCACGCGGACACTGTATTTCAGGTAGCCAAAAGAGTTTTAGGAATCCTATTTTTATCGTACACTTAAAATTAATGAAGGCGATGAACGATGACGTATCCATGGAACACTGTTGAGATATTATTCGGGCAGTCGTCCGTATTGAACTAAGATCACGAGAAAGAGTAACCAAGTCCAACGGAAAATCTAGTAGAACCAGTTTCGTCGGTTCAGGTACGCGTTTGGAAAAAAAAGTCCGGTTTTGGAGCGAAAGGGTTTTAGTAAAGCGCGCGGCGGAACTGTTTTGCTGTCGGAATGCCGCGTGCAGTTAGCGGTTCGATCGATGGTCGCGTATAAACAGCTAATAATCAAACGAATCGTGTCATAAACAATCCCCACGGTAGGGGCGGTAGGGTGGTGGTAAAAGTATAAATGAGTGTCGATCGGTAGTGGGGTGTACAACCAGGGGTGGGGGTGGCGGCTTCGAAAAGCGCAGAAAAGCTTGACCCGCATAAAAATTTGTTTCGATACATCCGCGGATCCACGGTTCTCTCTCTCTCTCTCTCTCTCTCTCTCTCTCTCTCTCTCTCTCTCTCTCTCTCTCTTTGAGACCGGAAATTAGTTAATAAGAGAAGTCTATCTATTATAGTTTCTAGAATACCGGCCTGTTATGATATTCGGAATTCGCACATCCATTAGTTCGGACGAAACGTTTAATTATTACGGAATTCGAAACTGGAATATCATCTGTTTTCGGAAGATACTTTGAATTTTGATTCCTTTTAACTATAATGAGGCGTGTTATTTAAAAGCTACAACAACTTTGTTAAATTGAAATTGATATTAGTTTTTTTCAAACTTCGGATAAATATAAACGATTATACTGTCATTCTCTCAGACATCCAAATTGATACATATTGAGAGAAATGTACATACTGCCATTCATTTTGTTGATATGTGACTAACAAAAACTTTCTTATTTTTTCATGAATGGTGCTGTTCTAACCAAAATGTGATTATCCTATGGTCTGTTTTTTGTTCTTGCATTAGTCTACACTAGAACTCTCTTTCTCGCTTCCGAATATCATACATTTCTCACTTTAAGTTTCAAAAGCGTACACTAGTTCAGCCACAGAAAACAAACCTCTAATCAAATTTTGGTTATTTTAGCCAAATTTTGATCAAAACAATCAAATTTTGGTTAGAAATAATAATTGTGTTGTCCAAACTAAAATTTGGTTATTCTAACTAAATTTTCGTTAGGATAATACAATTTTTTAAATGAAAAAATAAGAAAGTTTTTGTTAATCATATATTAGCAAAATGAATTATACGTATGTACTAAACATTCCTCTTAACGCAATCTCGTAGTCAAAGGGCTAAGCGTGAAAAATTTTTTTTTCGTGATAGCACATTGTAAATCTAAGCCCATTTTTGTGTATATTTAAATATGTATTCTTCCCTGGCGAAAATAAAAATCGGAGCATAAGTCAAATGTATAAAGGGGAGACTAATAGAAGCGTAAATGAAGCTTCTAGTTCTTCTAGAGGTGAAACAACGAAATGTAAGAGACATTTATGCTTCTTTTATGTTTCGTTATTTCAATTTTTGCCTCTTAAAAGTTTCATTTACACTTCTGTTATTCTCCCCCTACATTCGACTTAATTCCTATTTTTATTTTTGCAAGATGAACTATGATTCTCAACTTTTTTTAGACTGTGATTATTTGTGATTATGCTCCAAGAAGAAATTTATCTGTGATTATTTGTGATTATGCTCCAAGAAGAAATTTATTATTAAGTATTTAGTCAATTCAGTTATGGTGTTTAATATCTTTGTGCGAATTTTTAGAATTTCTTATTAATTTTATTAGACATTGTTTTTTTATCTTGGCTATTTCTCAATATAATTTCAAATTATATAATTCAAATTATATAAATGCTTTGCAGTATTTTATAAGCAACATCTTTTTCTAAATAAATTACCGTTTGTCCAAATATTGTTTTATATTGTGTAAAACTTATAAAATTTTGCCTTATTGAAATTTTGTTATTATAATAGAAATGCAAAAACGAAAAAGCTTTTCATCTCTTAGACATATACGGTTAATATTGATGATATTAAAGATTATAATTTCATATATTTTTAATCTGTAAATTATATTTTAAAAAATTTTATTTGGATCACATTTAAAAAATTATATTTATTTGATATAATGAAAATCTGACCAAAGACGAGCTCATCTTTGGTCTGTTTTTCATTATATTTTGTATTATATTTCAATAACGAGCAGGTTATTATTGTTTATCTTTACATTTATTCATGTTTGTTGATAACTAAAAGAATAATATAGTATTTTCTGTGGAATCTAGTATTCTACAAAATCTTGTTCATAATGCACAGTGTGACCCGCTTTGAAAATCTACAAACGATTTTACCAATATATTATTTATAGGAAATATTTTCCATCTTCATATTTTATAAACTTCATGCGTTTGCGGATTTCACATTAAGCTTATGAACAAAGATTCATAAAAAAAATCACAATTCTTTTTCGAAGGAAACAATTTTACAAGATGAAATAAAATCACAGATAGATTGTCCATAAATTAACAATAGACTGTATTTCACGTTTTTTATATTTTAATGTCCTCTTGTCGTTGTATCAGTATAATTTTTACATAGCGTTGCAATATCTGTCATCGACATCTTTCATAGAATTCTCCGTATCTTCGTCTCAATCAACATACATATCATCGCGTGTCTAATTTTCTCTGTCTACTCTCATATAAACTTTAAAACAATTTACCCGTATCTTTTCGAAACGAAACTGTTTCAATAAAATCCTTGACAGATATGACATTAATCTTTCACGAAAATATAGAAAATATAGAATGTTTAACAAGAAGTCGAAAATACACATGTATCGCCCCCGGGAATATATAACGGACCTTTATTCTTATCTCACACTAACTTATCACTGTCACTATCATGTCTT